CACGTTTTACATAAAATGTGAATTGAATAGATGAAATGAAATTAATGTGTCTGGTTTTGTATGAACTTTTGTACTAATTTTCCTTCAGATTTTTTCCTGCTTTATTATTAACCAAAACCTTAATCGTAAAATACATCAATTTTTTAAAAGAACCACGCGACATAAGACAGCCTTAAACTTTTTCCCGAATTTTCTGACCAATCCAAACAATCAATTAAAAACCGACAAAACACTCTGTATATAAATCGAAATAATAGGCGCTACCTTTTTCCAAGGGCGGGGGCCGGGTACAGCTTTGTTGCGAGTTAGAATCATTCTGAAAAAAAAAACGCATTAAATATGAACAATTAATTGTTTATTCGCAAACGGCTTATCTGTCGAGGGAGAATTGATAAAGCTATCACAGACAGTAAGTTTGTAACGAAGTATCGTTGTCATCGACTATGTGGAGCCCGATCGGGAACTTCGTTCATTGTTATTGTAGTTCGCTACTAAAGTATCGACAATATTTTATTAATAATGAAAAGAGATTGCTCCGAAAATGAAAATTACATTTTTTATAGCTTCAGGGCGTATCTTTCTTATTAATAAAGCCAGCTTTCGTGACCCAAGGCTAGTTTTTCATGAAATGAAACAAATTTGAGGTCTATTCAACATGTGCATGCGCAAGATTCATTTTAAATTTCGTTTTGAACCAATTAGCTCGTCAGTAAGGTTACAGGAGTATTTTCTCCAAATAGGTCCCGATCCCGTTACAAGGAGTTAGGTGTGTGCACAAAGAGCAGGTTAGCGGGTTAGCATGCCTTCTTTACGAAAATATCATAGTCATCTGAGACGCAGCAATTTTTTACCGTAGTAGGGCAGTTATGACAATTCGTCATTATAATTTTAATTTCTGCCTCCTCTTCTTTCTCTTATGGTTACAGTTAACCCAAAATATTACAAATATGAGAAATTGGATATAATATACGAACAAACAAACCTACTTAAATATAGGGTGTTCCATAAAAAAAAAACTCACAAGTATAGTTTAGATATCAAAATTTGTGAGTTTCATAAGAACACTGACTACACCACTGGATACTACGTAATAAACGATATTCAGATCAGTTTGCACCTTTTCCATAGGTTCATGGAAAACCGAATGGGTAGAAATGCAAAAATTACGAAACCACAACACTTTATCGTTATTAATAAGGGAAATACGCCATCGTAAAACCATCAAAAATGAGACACTGTAAACATATTTTAACCGGTCACCACGATGCCTAAATCTATGATGCTACATGCCAGTAAACCAACCACGTTGGTGGGGAAACGCAGTTGGCAATTACTATTGGGTCTTAGTTTCCTTATCGCAAGAAAAAATACAATTTTGAATTTTAAAAATGGAGTAATTCTATTTTTACCAAAAATATTATACAGAGCCGAACAAAAAGTTATGAGCCATTGAGAGCGAAAAGGTCATACAGGTAGAGCCCCCAACAAGAGCTGAGTTAGGAACACATTCGGCAAAAATCCCCAGGAAGCAATTTGGTTCAGTTATTTCGGAAATAATAAAATTACGCATTTGTATTAACTTTTTACCTCGCTTTTTAACTTGAAAATATCTGCGTAATGTCAAACACTATTAAAATAACACGCCGTATATGTATTCTAACTCGAAAAAGACACAATTGAAGAGGAAGAGACCTTCGTGCTGTTTTCTACTCCACGAAATAATTTTTCAAGATGCCCGAAACTACGACAAAAATTTCGATGGCGCAATACTCACTTGAATATATTTTCTGTAAATGTTAGCGGCGAACTCCATAACGCGGGAATTTTTCGCGGAAAACTGAACGAAATATTATGTTATTGTCGCGATTTGGAGGCGTGTACACCGATATAACATCTAAAAATAAGCGCGCCTGCTTTATTATGGACGCTGCCAATATTTGAAAAAAAGACAAAATACTCTCCGTTGAGCGTCGAAAAAAAGACCAAACCTAAAATTTACAAAGAAAAGCGAGCAGACTGCGAACGCTATTGAATAAAAACGTATACGGTGTATATTTAAAACCGGCGGCGCCAGTGGCGTAGTTCGGTAATTACAGTAAAACAAAATTAGCATATACAGGGACTGAAACATATTTTTCTGGTAACGGTCAAATTTATGAAATGCCAGGAACAACTATGCGTTCTCCATTATCACCAATCATCGGAAATATATTTATGCAAGAATTTGAGAAGAAAGCCCTCGACACCTTCCACCTAAAACCAAAGTTATCGAGACGCTACTTTGAAGATGCTTTTGTTATTTGACCTCATGGTCAAGAATCCATCAGAGATTTTCTTAACCATTTAAACTCTATACACCCTAACATACGTGTTAACATTAAATTATAAACTAATAATAATTATCTCCCATTCTTAGATATTCATATCAACAGAAAACCGACACACACAGACCGATATCTGAACACATAATATCACCATCCCACCCAAAAATCATGGGTTATCAAACTCTCTTGTTTAGAGAGCAGTTAAACTGCATATATCTCCACCCGAGTCACCGAACCCTAAATTACACAATTACACTTTAATAATTTCCACATTAGAGGTACTAGGCGTTCCATTTCAAAACATCGCAAAACGTTTCACCCTTAAACCAGATTTACCACCAAAGAACAAAAATCTTCGACCCGTCAAAGACGAAATTCCGCTTGAGATAGAGTTTACTGCATTCCATGTATATACGACAAGGAATACATTAGAGAAACAGGACAAAAAAATGTAAATTAGGCTAAAAAAACATGAATCCGAACATCAAATATTTTTCTCTACTAAAGAAATATATGAGAAGCCATTGAAATCTATAAGCAACAAAACAATCTTAACCGCGACTCAGGTGTTTAACTTTCGCCAATATGGGAATTAGTCATCCGAGACAATGTTTAGCTTTGCCCTTCTCAAGCAATATATAAGAAGGCATGCGGTGCCAACTATTAGTCGTGATTTTAATTATGCATGTTTCGATTTCTCGAATATTTGGAATCGGAAGTGCTAATTTGCACAGCATAGTTTCACATTTACACCGATTAACATTTGTTCTTATAAACTTAATAGTTTTATGAAGCAAAACGAAATGAACTAGTTAACCCCGAAACCTCGAAAAAACAATTTTTCCTGTAGCTTCGTTATCGTGACCGAAAAGAGTTATGATTGACAAAATATGTGGTTGTGTCACACGCCAGTAACTATCTGGCGTTTTACAACTTCGAAGGTAATACTAAAATAACGTAAACTAGGTAAAATAGTAATTAGTTTATATTTTATTATATAATATTTTATACCGATATATATAAAAAAGAATTATAAACTGTATGGTACAGTTAAGTACCATATACTTGAGATTGTAACATGATCTCCGTTGTTGTACTCTGTACTGAGTACATTAAATAAACTACCATTAAATTTATTCAGATTTTAAAAGAAGCAAGAAAGATGCGAGATACATGCCGTACCTAGCACAATCCCATTGGTCAGATTTAAAATTTAAACCAATTAAACTTAGTGTTATTTGCGTGTACCAAGTATAACTGGGTTTATTAATTTGTACAATTTGCGAAAAATCATATTTCAATTAATTAATTAATAATCTTGAATGTAAAAACACATGAATTATTCACCATAATAATACACGTTTTAATCATTTTCTACGACTTTTCGCTTTTTGGAAGCTTTTTCTAGAAAACCAATATTTTTGCTTTCAATTGTTTTATTCTTTTTTGTGCAAAAATTTGTTAAAATATGTAACGTTAACTTATTTTTCTTTCCCACACTCCGTATGATAGAGCGTACCCTCTGTGGTTGCACTGTCTAGAACGTCTCTATAAATACACCTACCAAATCGGTCAGCGAGGGCGGATAACGTCGACAATGATCTAGAGGCAAATCCGTCCTAATTCAACCGCAACTAACCTAATACTATTATCTATGCCAAATAAACACATAAAAACCGGAGACTAATTGTACACTCGTCAATGGTTTACAGTTCATATTATAAGATTATAGGAGTTGATACCACACTATATATCCAATATATCACAACATAAAACGAAAAAAGAAATGCGTACACCTGCCTTTGTTTTGACGAAAAGATTAATTTTAATAATTCAAAAAAAAACGTACAATATACCTGGGAAAGTTCAGTGCTTCTAATAAGACCATCATCGGATGGAAGATGCAGAAAATATACACGAGCACTGATCAGGTTCAGAAATGTTTGTAACATACTTTTAAAAGTTTCATAGACAGACCAAATACAACCTGCAATGTTCAGATGCAAGATCAGCTTATGGTTTAAATGAAATCAATGAAAATGTAAGGATATATCCTTTTTTACATTCTTCGGAATATCGTTTGCCCGGATTTTGCGTACGATCCTACATTATTTGCTTTTTGTATTTTGTTTTAGTTCGTTACATTGATCAAAAAGTCAGTGGGGTCTTGAAATCGTTTTACTATGAGACTTTAAAAAGATTACTACTTGCCTCCTTATCTTCAGCATCAATCATTTCGAACAACTTGAAACCAATAACCTCTCGTAACGAACAATTGCACCAAATTTTTTAACGGTTTCATGTGCTTTTGGCACGACTTTCCGTTCAAATTCCGTTTAAACGCGCATGTTTCCTAAAGGTCAAATTATTGGCAGTGATGTTTGCAGAGAAAACATTAAAATTGTTGCAGGACAAATAACTTCGATCACACGCCCATTTCAATTGAATAATTATTCATTAATATTGTTTGGCATTAAAGCATTCGGTATTTTATAGTTGAATATAGTTCGTCCTTAATGTTAGAGATACTTGTAATCTTATGGAGAATGACTCTTAAGAAGAGATTACTGACGTCCTTTCTTTTACTGGTCGAATGATCCTGGCAGATTTGCCTACCACCAGATAATTAATTTAAAAAAACTCATTTTAATGCGGTCAGTTTTTGACAGTAGTAGCTTGTTTAGCAACAAAAAAGTTGATTTTGAAATCTACTATTTGTGATGTAATAACTATTAACGCAATCCGCGCTAACTATTGCTGGGGTGCATCAAGTCGCAAAGATGACTTCGTTAGATTTGACCCTGTCGGAATTTTCCTCTTTCTCTTTTTGCGCTGCGGCGTTGGGTTTTTGTGCCATATTTCTTTACATAACGAGGTAAGTATCGCGAATTTTACACAGCTTCTTTCACTAAGTAATCTTGTTGGTATAGGAATATGTTGTATGTCGGAGATCAGAGGACAGAGTGGGCTTTTCCGACTTCTGTTCAACGTGGGTCTCCTAAAGTCCCGCAGATGAACATGGTTCGAATCGAGATTCCATTCACGTTTAAATTACTGAGAGCACAGAGTGCTTCCTATGAAGGTATTTAACATCCTTAAACAAAAGCCAAGCTAAGGTGTCTCTTTTTAGAATTACAATTTTCCTTATTGAGTGAAGTGCATTATGAAGTGCACTGTTTCTGGGGTGTAAGCGTTAAACAGTTTCACTTGTTTTTGTGTCGACCCTGGTATGACATTAGAGACGCATTTGCTAGGGGTGACTTTTTGAATGGATATTACGAACAATCGGGCCTGCAAGCAGTGTAAGTTTCAAATTGTAAGCTGGATGAAAAAAATTGTTTACCTTCTACAGGAATGACGCGAACACGGAGGAAACATACACCGTTAGCTTGAACAAAACAAGTTCTGACTTTTTAAAATCAGGAACACTGCCTAGGAATTACTATCCTTTAGTTGTTATTGTGATTAGGAATGTAAGGGATCAAAATGTTCTTTCAAATGAAACGGTAATTATATATCACTAATCACTCTTTAAGATGTGAAATAATAATAACAAATGGTAAATATTGTAAATATTTTAGGTTGCACTAATCAACATAATTCACATAAAAGATTCAATATGCACTTTACCTACCTGTATTTTGGCCCAGTACCTAAAGCAGGCAAATGGGCAATTGTCTTCATTAAAGGTAAAGCCTTGTGGTCACACCAGCAACAATTTAACTATTGACTTTTTATTTTTAGCAACTTTATTTGTCCACTGAGAGTTTAAACTATGAAACGGCAAACCAGAAGGACAGAGAAGCAGAGCAGCAGTACTGTATAGTGTGCCAGTATTTTCCATTATCGAGGGCCATTTTGCCATGCAGGTAGACTGACAAATGGATCCAAATTTTGGATTAACACATTTTTGGTGGTTTAGGCAAACATGTGTCTGTGCCAACTGTTTTTCCAGATTAGATCGGTGTCCAATCTGTCGAGGCTCCATAAAAAGCTACTTCTGCATTAGAGATGAGCATTATATAACAGATTGCTCAAGCTCGAAGCAGATTCAAAGCCGTTGGTCACTTCTTGACTGGCTCCACACCTGGGATGACCGCCTGACTGATTTTCTTGGCTTTCAAAGATAGAACTTGAAATAGACCTTGTATAAGAAAATTTCTGTGATGTGAATGATAGTATTTGTTTTTTTTTTTTAATATAGTTTTCGAACAAAAACACTCCTTTACTTGTTCTAAAAGTGTACTACTGGAGTCAATTTATGGTATTTTCAGGCATTACTAAACAATATTCTGCTAATTTTTTAAAAATGTATAATAAATCTTATTAGACAAAGGCAAGTATGTGGTAATGAAGCATTTATACTCTATATTAACAATAACTATTAAGCAGCCAAATATAATATACAAAAGCAAGGCTTATACAGCTGCAAAAATCAATAAACAAACAGTGGCAATCTTAAACATTGTGTTAACTTCAACAATGCTTTTTCTGATCCAAAGAACTGCAAGCTGTTAATTAGTAACAAGTATAGCACAGGTAATCCTCATCGTTTAAGGAAAATGAGCAGTTCTTGCAGAAAGTGTTTTTGCAGTCGATGCAATCTTGCAGACAATCCAAACAGGAACTTTTTTCACAATAGTAGCATTTCGTTTCGGTTTCGATAGACACGGAGCAGTTGCAGCAGTGAAAGGCAATGTTAATCATTTCTAGCTTGGGGATCGGCTGAAACTGCTTCTTGCTCCCCTTGTAGAGTAATTGCAGCGTTTTTTCTGATGCAACGGATGTTATCTCCCGAACTTTTAAACCGGTCTTTAACTCCTGCTTTTTTACAGCTTGACTGGCTTCGTCGAATGGGCACAGGCGTTTCTTAGACATCACAGTTACCTTATTTCCCTTTTCAAAAAATTCAAATTTCGGCTTAACCTACAATTTCTAATTTATAAACGTACACAACTGTTAGCCAAGTTTGCTATGATCATTCGACCATTTACGACTTCCGTCGAGGATTATTAACTATATAGGCATAGAAATATAGAGGCCCTGTCTATGCCGATAATACAACAATTTGTGAATCAACTATGAAAAAAATTTGAGAACATCATTTCATACATGCGCATGCACGACATAGCTAAAGACAATAGCGGATTCAATAGGGAGTTGACAAGATACAGCCTGCCACTTGCCCTGTCACAGAATTTGAACTTATAGTTATTTCTTTGGTTGTTTTTAAAAATATCGTTCCCATTATTATAACACTTAATAGTTTTTTTTTTAAAAGAAACATGGCCAACTCATTCTAGCAGTGATGGCCAATAGAAGAATAAAGAAAATGCTTGATTCCGTTTTGTCTCTCTTATCAAATGATCCTAGCAATCGCGCCCAACATTTTTTGTGAAACGCATAATTGACTTGACTTGTCTCTCTTATCTATAGTTGAATTTTATCGTAATTGATTTGGCAGTGGGTGGTAATTGCCATTCTGAGCTTTAAATTGATATAGGTTATTTATTTATGTTCTTTAACTAATTTAATAAAAAAAGGTGTCATATTATTCCTTCATGATTATTTTGAAAATTCCGAAAATGTTTGCCGAAAATTCAAAAACATTTACAGCTTCAGATATGAATGTTCGTATAATCGCTGTTTGTTGAAATGGAATTTGTATATTCTTATTTTCAAAGGAAATTGAAGAATTAAAAAATGATCAGGGTATTCAGGTATGGGGCCAAAGTCAGGAGTCGCTGGAAAATCAAGCTGCTCTAGAGCTGGCGTTGATTACGAAAGAATCGAGTCATGAATTCTCAGATGCGCCCAATACATGCCACAAAAAATTGAATGTCAGTATCAGTACACAAGCTGAAGCTCCTTTAGAATCCCAAACCGTCGAACTCCAGCACTCCATTTCAGAGCACGACGATGATTTTGAAGAGCATTATTCAGCTGCCGATAATAATTCTGGCAGTGAATATGTCCCTTCAGCAGACGACACTTCAGGTGATAATTTTGAGCTGCAATGGATAGCATGTTAATGCGTGTTTGCAGATCATGACAGTTCAAAAAGGAAACCAAAACGACCAAGCAAAAAATCTTCAGTTAACAAGAGTGCAGGTTTAAAAAAAAGTAAATCCCCACTAAAAAAACCCATTGCAAAGTACAAAGACGACGCATTGGTGAAAAATTACAAAGCGAGGCTTGACAAGTATTATAAAAAACTAGAGGAGCACAAACACTTGATGACCTTGAAGACGAGTCAGATGTTGCCCTTAGTGGTGGCCTGAAAGTGCACAGAGAACTTTGGGAAAGACTCTATGGGTATGTTCCTCTATGTAGCTCTTTGCATATTTTATATTTTATGACAGTTACCAGCAGGACGGTGTCGAATGGTTGTGGGATATACATCAGAAATCCGTTGGTGGTTTGTTAGGTGATGAGATGGGCTTAGGCAAAACAGTTCAAGTGATTGTCTTCCTGCATTCACTGCAGTACAGCAGGATTATTTCGAGCCACTGCAGGTTAGTAGAACAAAACTATGTAAAACGAATCTGTGATAGTTAGGTAAGTATCATTGTAGGTATAATGGCTTAGGGCCCACAATGATTGTTTGCCCAGCTACAATTATCCATCAGTGGGTGAAACATTTTCACGAATGGGCACCGGAATTTAGAGTCGCTGTTCTTCATCAATCCGGCACCCATCAAGGTAAATAATAACTGATGCACGTGTAAATGTCTCTGTCAGTGTTAGAGCTTATGTTTGCTATGCCTATGTAAATTATTTTATTAACTGTTAGGGAACAAAACGGCCTTCATAAAAGACATGAATCAATCGAAAGGAGTGATAATAACCACTTATGCTGGTCTCCTTAAGTACAAGGGAAACTTTGCGGAGTACAACTGGCATTATCTCATCCTCGATGAGGGTCACAAGGTAAGAAACCCATCAGCCAAGGTGACCGTAGCGGCGAAAGGATTAAGGACGCCACACCGTATCATGTTAACGGGAAGTCCAATGCAGAACAACTTGGTGGAACTATGGAGTTTATTCGATTTCACTAATCCAGGGATACTTGGCGATTTGGCCACCTTCCAGGAACACTTTATAAGCCCGATTTTGAAGGGTGGTTTCGCTAACTCCAGCTCGATGCAGGTATTTAAGCAAAAAATCCTTGATCAAGATTTATTTATGCTAATGTTTTTCTTCAAAATTAATTTAATATATACAGAATGTGCAAATATATTTAAAATATGTCTGAATTGTGAAAAAATTTAATCGCACCAGCGATTGCCTTCCAGATTTAGGTGAAATGGAAAAAAATTATTTAAAAAATTAATTTTAAGGCGAAAAAATGGCAAAACAAATATGTCAAGTAATAATACATATTCCCGTAGGAGGCGACCGCTCTGTCAGTTGCATCCACTCTGAAAAACATAATCTCACCATACCTGCTGCGGAGATCAAAAAACGACGTGCAAAACTACCTCCAACTCCCCAACAAGAGCGAGCAAGTTTTATTTTGCACTTTAACTGACGATCAAAAGGACCTGTACAAGAATTATTTGCTGGTATGGTCAATTGCCAACGTAAAGGCAACACAATTTCCGATTTTGAACGCGCTGGATTGCAGCAGCATTGCATGATTGAAATTTCAGTATTACTACACAAAAATTACTTCAATTTATTAGGAGATAAAATAGGAAACCTAACCCATCATTTTTTTGACAGCACCACTTTCTGTTGCAAAAATGACCGCTCTCTGAAAAAAATAAACATTTTTTAATTCTGTACATTTATGGGTTTGGGCGTCAAGAATCCGGTGATCCATGGAGATCAAAAATTTTGTTACCTCTTTGTGTTTCTTCAAATGAGAGGGCTCACCGGTCGCTTTTTAGGGAGAGAGGGTGACCTCCATCATCGACAATGGTTCAAGAACTTGGCGCAGCGAGAACGCTTTAAGGGCAAACATGCTGGTCGCCATAACCGCATTACGAAAGTTATGCAACCACCCGGATTTGTTTCTTTTCGACGAAAACGAAGCTAAAAACGTAGGTCGTATTTGTGTCACCCCGAATTCCCAAAATATAATAGAATTATTTACTTTTAAACATTGCGTAGTTGGCCAACCAGTGTTATATAAATGACGCGCTAGTTTCGTGATGGGATGGGTGGAAACAGTTTTTATAAATTTTACTTTATAAGGTACAACTTTGGAACCGACAATTCATGTGAATTTACAACGTGAGCGTGAAGTTAAGAAGCAACTAGCTATATTTTAATTACTGAGAGTCTGCACTTTATCAACATGTAACTTCTCCCCGTTAAGACCGAACTACCCTTCTTCGGGATTAGGCCTACTTTTCCATCGATGTACCCATCATCCAAAAGAAGTGAATAAGTTTCATACTTATTTATAATTTATTAATGATTAATTTTTATTTAACTTTAAGAATTTATGTTTTCTTTAATATTTTTTATAGTTTATAGTTTAAAATTGCGCGGCAACGGCAACGAAATTTCTACGGGCGACTTTTTACGCGTTCCCTCTTTTTTTTTGGCCCATAACTTAATTTTCGGGTCGAGCGGCAGTCGATAAAAACCACGCTGTTGGAAAGGTAGTTTTCGCAGTGCTCTTTCCGCTTTAGCTTCCTGTTTTGCATTTCGCTAGTCGTTAATTTTGCCAAATAACATTTCCGCATCACCATGAGGTACCCGGAAGACGAACCCAGAATACAAGGCAGCTCCTTGGCACCAAGGTAAGTCGCTACAGTTATTTCGTTGCCCCGCTCGGCTTACATAGTTTTCATTTCAGTCCACTTAACCAAGAAGGATTAGGAACAAACCGATGTAAAGGAATAATGTCTACATACTGAATCCTTTTAAAGTTACTGTTTTTTCTTTAATATCGTTAATTTTATTTTTTTGTGTTTCCAATACAGTTCCAATAGTTTTTAAGTTATCCAGTGGAATCATATCCAATACTAGCGGGTGAAAACTATTTTCTTCATTGTTACTTATAGCTGTTAAATAGTTAAGATTTGGAAGGTGAATTAGCTTAAATTTCAGTTTAGACTGTTGATAAATTCTTAAAGTTGTTTGGTCCAGTTTTACTGCACAATCTGGGGCAAGTTCCACGATATAGGGTTCTTCAAGCGAGATTTATTTTTTCTCTTGTCCACACTTTCGTTCAGTGACTAATTCTGTTGGGACAATTAATAGGAAATGCCTTCTTGACGATTTTTATAGTTTAAAATTTGAACTAATTCGAGTTTCATTTATTAATTGCTTCTGCCTATACGTGCCAAACATGTGGGGTTGTACCCGGGACTTCCTGTGCTAATCGTTGTCCAGGTCCCTTGAATATATCGGTCGAATTTATAACGCGAGCGCTTTGAGGTTAAGAAGCAACTTTAAAACATCGAGAAACACGGCAGAATGAATTGTACTTGATGCACTTATCAGCAACCGATTCGGGAAAAGCTATATTTTAATCATTCAGCGTCTGCACTTCATTAAAATGTAACTTGCTTACGACCCACCATTTTGTTCTTCTATATCTAATTTACTTTGCTATTGTTTACTCTTTGCTTTTACATAGAAAATTTTGAAATATATTTGTCTTAGATAGTAGTAGAAAAAGCAAAAAACTGCCACATTTCAATTAAATAATTTAGGGAAACTAAAAGAAAAGATAAAATAGATAACTCGCAAGCTTCTTTAAAGTCTAGTCGGGTCAACACGAATAAATATTGTTACAGTTCTACATCTGAACTAAAACGAGTTTGATTCACGCAATGTTTGTTGTGTGTGTGTCAGACGAGTTCTTACTGACCGAGTTAACGCCTACAGGACGACGCGGACCTGCCGGACAGTTTCGGATATTACAAAAAATCGGGTAAAATGGTCGTTGTGTCTGCGCTGTTAAAAATTTGGAAACGTCAACGTCACAGGGTGTTGCTTTTCTCGCAAGGCCGATCTATGATAAAGATTTTCGAACAGTTCCTCGTCCAACACCACTATACATACCTGAAGATGGACGGATCGACCAGCGTCGCCTCGCGTCAGGGATTAATCGACAAATTTAACCAGGTATAGGCTTCGTGCATCGTCGAAAACATCACAGCTTTGCATGGATGATTACAGGATTCGAGCTACGACGTGTTCCTGCTGACTACCAGAGTGGGCGGTCTGGGAGTTAACTTAACAGGCGCCGATAGGGTTATCATTTATGACCCGGATTGGAATCCGGCGACAGACACGCAGGCGCGGGAACGCGCCTGGCGGATCGGGCAGGATAAGTCGGTGACCATCTACAGGCTTCTGTCTGCCGGTACCATAGAAGAAAAGGCATGTCTCGACACTAGGTTTTAGGAGACTGCTGTTCGGTCCTAAGTCATTCTAATGGGTACTAACTTTAGGTGCTCGATGTCGGCTGCCTAAAGCACACGTAACTAAATGCAACCTCAAAATGGTGTCAAAAATTTGTGAGAAAACAGCTTTTTGCCCGCGAATCTTTTTTTCTTGTAAGAGACTGATTCTATTAAGGGACACCCAATTGTATATGTGAAAAATAGCATTAGAACTGCTTCAGCCAATTCTGTTTAATAAATTTGGAGCAATTTCCGTTCCATACTTCTGTTTTTCCATACATTGCCATAAAAATTGAGATAGTTTTGGGTAGTTAATAAATGACAATAAAAACAATACATTAGAGGATTTCAAATAAAAATACATGTTTCTGTGGTAACTTGTGTATTCAAAACATTTACTTGGGGTAATCAAAATAAGTGATTGGGACAGTAGACTAAAATTTTGTATATGAAAAATGAATATATTGCCTTCACGTTTCTCTCCCTACTAAGAGATAGTCGAAAATACAAATGGTGCAACAAAGTGAAGCTTGCATGTCCCCTAGCTTTTCTCTAAATTTTACTGGTTCCCTAGTTATCCCTATTTTAGACGAAGTTTTGTGTTAATATCAACAATTTAAGGCAGTAATCTGAAACATTTTTCCAGATGTACCAGAGGCAGGTGTGGAAGCAACTGTTAAGCAATAAAATATTAATCGACCCAAGCACTAACAAGTTCTTCAAGTCGTCGGATTTGTTTGATCTATTTTCGCTGCCCTCGGATCCGAAACCGGAGACGACCAATATATTTCAGGAGTCCAGGGTCAGTGGCGGCGCCGTTTGGAATCATATTATATAATAATACGCGGGTGCGTTTTAACGTAATCTATTTTAGGTTAGGCTGCAGGAAAAATACAAGGAAAAGCAAGAATCGAGGGCGAAGAGGAAACTGAAAAATCGTCAAACGGACGAAGCGTCGGGCGAGTCTATATTCACTGAAGAGAGGGTGGAGGCTATGAAAGCATTGGCTCGCCAAATCGCCAAAGGAATTACCGCGAATCCTGAACCTCACACACAGAAGGCGGAGAGACTCTGTTACCTAACGGAGAAACAAAGGTTGAGAGAGTTGACACCGCCTGAACTAGTAAAATATAACCGGTTAAACTTCAATGAGCGCAAAGGCGATGCTGACGAGTTGGTTGCTGGTTGCAGTTTTGAAAAAGCCTTGGAGGCAAGTGCCAAAACGTCATTGAACCAAAAGATCGCGAAAGAGGAACGGAAAAGAAGAAAACGTTTGAAGAAAGCGAGCGTAGGACCCGAAGCGAAAAGAAAGAAGACCGTAGACACGTCTGGTAAGATTGATGGTGTGGATGTGACGGGTTTGGTGAAGCGTGAGGTTCCAAAACGCGAGAAGAGGTCCAAGACTGGGATGAAGTCTCAAGACTCATACATATTGGAACATTTGTTTTCAAAAAAAGGTGAATATGGGCTAAAGTGAAGAGTTTAGGGGGGTTTCGAGGGATAATTTTAGGGGTTTCGGGAGCTCTAGAACATGAATCGGTAGTCAACCAAGGAGTTCGTAAGTATACTTTGAAGATACGCGAAGAGGCCGAGCGGAAGGCGTCGAAAGCATTAGAGGCGCTGAAGAAGTCAAGGTTTAAATAGTTGTTAATTTTTCTTATAATTTTTGTAATATAATTGTTGCATTTATTTATTTTGTTTCATTCTATTTTTCTTTTAGGGTTTATACACGCTATTTAAAATAATACAATAAAAAAGTGATAAATAAAAGGCAATATAATTTTCCCCATTATAAAATTAACCGCGACATTTTCAATGAAATGAAAACTCGTAAATTATACGGGTATTATCAAAACTTTTTGTAGCTTCATCTGAAAAAAGTAAACTAAAAGTGGCAATTAACTGGATTCACCAGAATAAAAAATTAATAATCGGCGACCTTATATAGAAGCAATTCAATTCAATTCAATTATGCGTTTCACAAAAAATGTTGGGCTCGACTGCTAGGATCATTCGCCCATTGCCGACTTCCGTCGAGGATTTTCGCTTCTGATCAATGACCACCACGTACAAAGAAGAAAAATAACCAATAATTTGCTCAGCTAGCAAAAAACGATTCTGACCGATACCAAAAAAAATCGGCTTCCCCCCGCTTCCACCAAGGACCATCCGGGCCCATCCGGCCTCCATACCGGCGTGAACGGGGAAAAACGACGGGGCCGACGACGATTATCACTTTAAGACGTACACTGAACACTCAGAACACTAAATCCACACCGTGGATACCGATATCAAAATTTTTGGGACGAATACATGGGATTCTTTCGGGAGCGAACAGAGGTTAAACCGCCGCGTGCAATGCTCTACCACAGAATCCTACATAGAAGCAAATAATTTCTCTTACTCTCTTCTGAAAAGGTATTCGGGTAACTGGGAAACGAATCATTTTAGGGTTTCGGTTAATCTAAGAAAAGAAAAATATTCTCACCTCAAAATGCTTGGCCGAATGTTCCTGGCAGTCTTAGCCAATAGCAGTAAAAAAAATAAAATGGTTAATTCCAAATTTTGTTTGTTATTTGTATTTTTGGGATTGAAGTTGTCCGAAAACGAAAAAGTTAGTGACATGAATTCCGACGATAAGTTATTTTCCGTTAAATTCGAAATATACGGTAGAGTTCAAGGTATGTTATATTAACAATTGACTTCCAGATACAACATTCATTTGCACTTTTCAGGAGTATTCTTTAGAAAGGTGAGATGCACATTTCGTGAATGTGTCGTTTAATTTCGCAGTTTTATAGTACACCCAGAGCGAGGCCACAAAACTGGGCGTCAAGGGCTGGTGTAGGAACACAGACCGAGATACAGTTGAAGGCACGTTGGAAGGCAGTAAAAAGCGACTTAACGCGATGTAAGGCTCCAAGAAGGAATAAACACATTTCTTACAATATTCCAATATTTTAGGAAGCACTGGTTGCAAACCAAAGGCAGCCCTAAATCCAGAATTGACAGAGCTGTGTTTCAAGATGAACATGAAATAGAGGGGTTCACTTTTGATGGGTTTACGGTAAAACATTAATTAAAGATTTATTATTAGACAAATGTCATTAGAATATTTATTTTGTGTTTGTTTAACTTCTTAACTCGTTAAAAAAGTAGTTCATAAGTGCAAGGTTTTAAATTTTGATTAAGTACAGGAGTGAGGCTGCTTTTCAGTTTTTCCAATTAAAAACTGTTTTTGTTTTTGAAATAGTGAAATTCCCTGTTATTCTCACCAGTCTATTTTTTTATGGATTGATAAGGTTAAATTTTCGAATAATTTCTTAACATGTATGTAGGAGACTTGAAATAAAATGGTATGGTATTAGTCAAGCAAAGAAGAGAAAGAAAACCATCGTAAGTCCTCGATATTTAAATTTATTTACCTAAATTATAATCATAATATATTCAAACGGAAAATAATAACAATACCTATATTCAAAACGCGAGATGGAAATGTAAAAAATAATGCGAAACGTCAATACTGATCCGCAGCTCGTAAAATATATATACGCCGCGTGGGCATGGCGAATTTCGCTCACCTGAGCGGGGAAGCGGGTCGGCAATCTCTGACGTCATCGCGACGTCCGAGCTGAGTATTTTAGTCGTAACGACGCCGGAGACCCCCGAGACTAGTTTAATAATGTTCTGACTAGTATTTATTTTAAACACTTTTAAAAGTGACGACACAAATTAAAAAACACGACACATTCAGACTTTTGGCAAATTAAAAAAAACGCGAGCGGGAGCGATTTCGGGGAAACGTCAGGCAGCGCCACCTACTGGCTCAAGTGCAACGCAATGCCTATTTTTTGGACGAAAATAAATAGTGCAATGCATAACAAATTAATAACTTTAAAGCTTTACCGATAAAAATTTGGTGGTGAATAGTAGTGGATGTGCAGATCAAAAATAGTTTAATTTTGACATACAGGATACCCAGTTCCAGCTGTGTTGATTATTTCCTTAGTTTTTCTACTTATATAAACCTTAGTTTATCAAGTTCAATCAGAATTAAATATTTTAAGTACTTTTTCATAGAAAAATATCACAAAAATTTGTTCTTAGGGTGACGTTTCCCTACTGCCGCTGCCCCGGAAAATCTCTTACTACAATAATAATAATAAACAAGCAGCTATATTTGTACTACGTCCAAAACACTGGAAAACATCAAATAATATATTTTGTCCATTCTTTTCCTTACTGATAAAATTAAAAAACTATAGTGACAAAAATATGGTGTAAAATATATCTTCAATGAGCTAAAAAAATGATTCCAATCATTGCAAAGAATAACCCCATCAAGAAGTGCCAATGAGAGCAATTTATAAGGGCAATGTGTGTCCCATTAACGTTTAACCGAGACAAGTTCTGCAGAATCATAATTCTTTGTGTCAATAAATGACATTATTAAAAAATCTCTGGGTTTAAGTGCAAATTATAAAGAGACTGGGTCCGCGGAAAACCTGTTTGAAACTAACCCATTTGACCGCTCGATACCTATACAAGGTGTAAATTAAGTAACTAATTTTAAAATAAAAAGGTGTTAAACAAAACATTTTTTTTGTTATATTTTTGTTCAGTAACATGTCAATTAGACGAAATTAGACCTACTCTCAATTTTAAATGCAAAAGGTAAAAGGTTTAATATAAGCTGAAAGTTAATATTTCAGTTTCTTGTCATTAATAAACCCAGTATCTCGAGTTTCGTCTAATTGCCTTTTTACTGAACAAGAAATATAAAAAAAACAAATAAGATAGTTTTTTTTGACGCTCTGTACTTAATTAACACTCTGTATAGGTGCAGACAGTTTAGGTCCACCAACAAATATTGAACTGAATCCTCTTTGCGGCTTCTGAATGTTGTTTATCTATGTTGCGACGCGGTACAAATATACGCGACTCGCTCGTATTAATAATATCACCGTCATTTGCCCGTCGTCCGTTAGATGGACTAACTGTCGACTTGTTTCGCGCCTATGCTCGATGAGGACGGCGACGAACCGATAGAGTTGGGAAACGCGCGAGCCGTGACGAAAGTGCATGCGACTGGCGTCGGCGACATGGATTCGGAACGACCGTCTAACATTACTTGCTGAACTTTCTCCACGTCCTGCTTCTCCAAAGACTCGGTCGAATGCACGCGCCCGCCCACGTCGGCAACGAACTTGTCCGAGTCGTCGCGAATTTGTCGGCAAATCTGCGGGTAGCGCGTGCGTATCGTGTCTACGACGTCGAGCAGGTTCTTCGAGTCCATCGCGAGCACGTGGGCCGCCCCCAACATGCCCCTGAAACACCGACATAGTCTACCGGGTGTCTCATGGTTGATGAAACTTAAAACTTTTTGGGAAAACGAGAGGTAGGAATAAATTACACAAGCAGGATATGCCAATAAGGCCTGTAGTATCTTTTGTAACAGCACCATCAGTTAAATTCTCAACAAGATTAATAAAAATTGTAGAATATCATATTGCCTTTAAACCTAGATTCGTTCAAACTAATTAACAGGGTTAAAGACATTAAAACAACTGCTAAGGCAATTCTAGTTTCATTTGACGTCCAAGATCTATTTCCTTTTGACGTTACGTTGACGTAAAGAGGGTGGGCGCTTTATTACGGGCCTTTGCTCAGGAATTACTGATATTAGAAAAAAAAAGTTTATACAAAAGTTTTATGGTTTAAATTATATTTTAAAATTATTTATTTTTTATATATACAGGGTGTCCGATAAGTGCTGGACCGACATTAGTAAAATTTAATTAATAAAAAAAAAGAACGATATGCTTTTTTAAAATTCTTTAAAATAATTAGGTGTCAGTAGTTCGAAAACCATTAAATTTAGGTATAGGACATGTATATACCAAATATAGGTATTTTGACGCACTTTGAGAAAAAAAAAATCAAAAACATGGGCGTCTCATTAAAGAAAATAAATACTGCAATTTGAATTTAAAAAAAGAGTCCCTTAATTTAAGACACACTGTATAATTTTAAAATGCCTAGTCATCGCAGCTTGTTAGAAGGAAGTCTTCTAAAATTGTGTTTAAAATTTGAACAAGTTATCATTACTGACACCCGTGGAAGACCATATTTACTCAGAACATAATTTTGCCTACAAAAATGTATAATCTCAATTTCTGTCTAAACTACACAAAATTTGAATAATTAGTTTCTATAAAAGTGTACCTTTATTTTTGGCAAGGATTATAAAAATATCAAAATAAATGGGGTTTTCCTTTTAAAATTTTAAAACTAATGTCGGTGCAGCACCTATGTACATATAAAAAACCTTGTATATATAAAAAATAAATAATTTTAAAATTTAATTTAAACCATAAAACTTAACTTTTTTTTCCTAAAATCAGTAGTCCATGAGAAAAAGTACAGGCCTCTACCAAAGTGCCCACCCTGTACGTAACACACATAACAGATAATCTCACTCCAAGACAAGTCCACCCTATCATAAAACACGAATTGCTAGATAGTTTAATAGTTTCTTTAAATCAAAATTATTTTGACTTTAATGGTCGATCTTATATTGCTAAAGAACGTTTAATTATCGAACCCACATAGTCCACTACTTACAGAAATTTTCATGGACAATGTGGAAAATATCATTAACGAACATAAAAAGGTGTATAAAAATAAAACTTAGGATTCTAAATATGCCATTAATTTAAATTCAGAAATTCGCAAGTTTGACGATAATTTTGATATTTGATATTTCAATCAAAAAGCGAAAAACTAAATTTGTTGGAATCTATGGAGACTAATAAAATGAGATATTCGAATCTATTACTTAATGACCAATTAGATTTAAATGCGTCTCCGTTGTTAAATTTAAATTTGTAGGAGTACACCAGTAATTAAAAATATTGTGATGGTGGTGCTTAAGTGTCAATCATATTAAAATTGCAACCATTTATGCTGTATTTTGGTGGCCACATTGAAAACGCAACTGCTTCTGTTAGAATCTATACAATGGAGTATCCTGTATTAGAACGGAAAGATGTTAGTGTTTTATCTGTATTATTGTTTTTCAATACTTTAATATATTTCACTCATATGACTATGAGAATTAATCATTATTGACATTTAAAATATAATGTTGCCGTTTTAACAGTAAATTTTTTTGTTGCTAAAAGAAGCAATACTAGTATTTAATAATATATGAAATATTCCCAGAGACGGTGACATTATTTTGTGTGTTACACCCTTATTGGATTATCTTTTGTTGCAATAAAAGAGATGTCATTTCATTTAGTTTCCTAAAGAAAATTAATTTTATTTGTAGTGATGTCGCAAAACGCCCTTTAGCTGCGATACATGCAATCGAAATCAGGGCAGCGCTTGTCAACGACTCCCACAAAATACGTTCAGCCATTCAAAACTTGTTGACATTTATGTCCGAAAAATTTCGGAGGCCACTTTCTTTTCAAGACAGAGCAAAAACTATTCCATGAAAAAGGGTCGAATGTACCCCAACTTTAAAACGGTGTTGTTCATTTTGGTTATCTGTGATATACGGTCATTTCTCAAAAAATGGACTTTAGAAGAATGTGATTGGTCCCATAGCAGGTATTCCAGAAATTTAGATATAATTTCCAGAATTTGCTCTTCGCAGTTTTAGTCATAAGTTTCTTCAACCACGCTCTTTGCGACAATTACTTTTCACGATAGGACAAAAGTAATCATTTTACTGTATTACACAAATAATTAAAATAATTAGATTTTGTTAGAAAACTGATTTTATTTCGAAACGCTTACCATTTAGGTATAGGAACATAATTCATCAATTGAAAGTGCTTTTATCTACTATCCTATTTTAAAATAAACGTGGTATTCCATCCGTACTTTTCGCCGATTTTGTGTAAGACGATTTGTAAACATTGTGCATATTGCAGGAGGCATTATTCGACACTCTACAGAGTACCATACCCAGGATACTGATAATCTCTAGCCAAGATTTCAGATTTCTAAATACTCAAGTATCTGAGCAATAAGAACTTTAACTTAACGAACAATATAATTAATTAATATCTTGAAAACTGATTGAAAAAATATCATGCAGCAATAGCAGAGCGGAAATTTAAACATTGAAAAAATGAATATTATAGTTCGCTGGAGGAGAGTCAAAAACTTATCGTGACCAAAGTTTTGGTAGTTTTGAGTAGTTTTCTGGTTAGTTCTATAACCTTCGTCCTCAGATGTAAAAAAAAGAATTCTGATTTACTGTTAATCTGATATCTTGACATTCTATAAGTAACCGAACGAATTTTTTTCTATTAAATTTACCAAGTAAATTCCAATTCTTCTTACATTCTTTGTAAGCGAAGGGCCACCGAGACGTAAATTAAAAATCAAACAAACATAGCTACCCGCCAAGAAAAGCACAGTCTGACAGATTCAATAAACAACTCGAAGCGGTTTTAGAATGCACTTAAAAATCTTAATATACATTGCAAAAAACAGCCAAATAAAATACCGGACGAGTTACACAAATCCATAACTTTAAATAAACATTTTTTAAAATCCAATTCAAATGAGGGAACATATTGACTGATTTTGCACTTTACCAACGTGTCAATCTGCTCTCTTAAGTATAACTGACGATATCATTAATGCACCCTAATTCGATTAAATTAATTAAAAACTATTTAGAGAGAGTTCAGTATGTAGAGACAAATGTTGGTGTGTCACCGATAACTAAACAAGTTCAGTTATGTACCACAGGAGTCAACAATTTTGGGCCCTTTATTATTTTCAATTTACACATGTGATATTAATAGCTGCATTAAACAATTCAAAGTGCATCTATATGCGGATGCTCAACTTTATATTAACGAGGACTTAATAAGAACTCATATCACCCTTACCCACGCAAAATGGTTGCTTTTTATGCTTTTATCCACAGACTACTTAATATCCCAGTTTTGGTTAGTTTTGGTTTTGGTAAATATCGCTCAACTTTATATTAACGAGGACTTAAATAATCTGGTGTTTTTTGCTGTTAATAAATGCAACAAAATCAAAATTTTTGGTTATTCGGAAAACATAATGATAGATTGTGTCAAAACATTAAAATTAAAATCGGTGACGATGATGTTCCATATTCCAATCAGAGCAAGAATCTTGAGCCAATTTTTGATTCTGAGTTAAGATTTAAATATCAAGTCAAAAATGTATCCAAATCCTTTTTCTAGGAGTGACAAGATCAAACTGACAGATTCACTTGTTCTTAGTCATTTTAATTTTGCCGATGCTCGCTTAGTGTACAACCACAGAATACAGCGCGTCCAGAAAGCATGCCTTCGATTCATTTATGGCATTTGCCGTAGAGAACCTGTCACTTTTAAATTAAAGGAAACAAAATGGAGAAGGCCAGAACTTTACACGCATGTGTTGTTTCATAAAATTGTGGCCAACTTACTCCACATTGCCTTAAACTCCTTTATATCTCTTTGGTTCACTCTAGACTGGAATATGCATCCGTGATATCTTTGGCTTCAATATCTATAATGGGTATCAGATCAACTATAGTATTATAGCTAAGGCCTTCAATATTGGTACTCTTAAAACCAGAAGATCTCAGAGTGATTTAGTTTTTTTCTTTAAGATTCTGACTGGTTGCTATTATTGTCCAGCTCTTTTACATAGCATACAATTTAACGCATATTACAGGAGCTATGGTAGCTCAATGTTCCGTATAGCTTACCTTCGTGCAAATTATAGATTTTATTCACCCCTTACTAGAATGCTTAAAGCGTGCAACTGTTTAAAGCTTGATCCTTTTCAAAATAAATAAGAACTAAAAGTTCAGATTTTCACGAAATTATATATTTTGACATGACAATTGTTTCGACAACACCGTGTCTTTATCAAATGTATATTTGATAAAGACATAAAGACAATTGTTTCGACAACACCGTGTCTTTATCAAATGTATATTTGATAAAGACATAAAGACACGGTGTTGTCGAAACAATTGTCATGTCAAAATATATAATTTCGTGAAAATCTGAACTTTTAGTTCTTACTTATTTTGATAAATGGATTTTTATCAAGTAAAAGTCACCTCAGTTCTGATTTCTAGTTTTTATACTGCAGTCTTACTCTCTTTGTCTTTAATGAATGTAAAAGTTTTGTAAATTAGTTAAACCGTAAATAAATAAATAAATAAATAAAAATTATAACTACAGATCGGCCACAGTATATAACAAATAAAATTCGATATCGTACAGATGTACACACTCTTAATTTAAGATTTCCCTACTACATATCCCCTCCGCCCCATAGCACAGTCTACTATGAAAGGTGTTTCACTTATAATATTTATATTTTATCTAAACATATTTCACGCAATTTAAAAACATTATCAGTGGGCGCATTAAAATATCAATATAAACAGTTTCTTTGAAGTTAATATTATATGAGTGACTTTTTTGTTTTTTTATATAGAGTGGACTCTTTTTCTACATATTTTCCTTCCTTTTCGTACAGTGTTCTTTTTGCAGAGGATCTAAAACTTTAGTGTAATTGGCATTGTCAACATTAATAGACATTATATGTATACCTTGGTTTCTCAACTAGAATCTTTTTTAAATTGAATTTCGGCCTCCTTTAGATTTAGATGCTGATTATGTAAATTCTTACAGCAAATAAATTATTATTATTATTATTTCGTGTCTAATCTATCTACTATCTACCTTATTTTGGTTTTGTAAAAATAAGACAACATAAGCATTGGTTTTTCGATGTAAAAAAAATGCAAAAATATTTTATATATCATCTTACTTTCTATATTCCGCATCCAGAGTCGTTCGACTGTACTGGTGAGCGAGTTTCATCGCACCAACCAACTCAGCCATATCTTTGGATAGCACCTTGTGCGCCATCTCGACCTCTCTCTGCGCGGCGCACGGGAACGCCCCAACTATGTCGTCGACGCTGGCCAGAAGCGACCGCAACTCTAGTCCCACCTTCTTCACCAAGTCGAGGTACTGGTCTGCGTGTGATTGCTGCACACCCTGCGACAGCGACATGACAGCCCTCACTACGTCTGTCGTGCACTCGTACACCCGATCGTGGGTTCTATCCGGTATGGCTGTCACGTGATGAACATCCTTGAAATCAAAATAACGATGAGCTTATAAAGCGATAGTTTGGATGGAAAAATAAGCAATTTGGTACCTTGGATCTTTCAGAGTCGCTGCCGAAATCGGATCCGCTCTGCTGTCCGCTTAATGTCATCGTGTTTGTCAACGAGCCCACAGGCGAATGGCTTTTGCTGCTCGAGAGCGAGGCGGTGCCGCTCTGTTGCCCGCGGCAACGCCCACCACGCCGTCCCCGGACCGCTGGTGCTCGGAGCAATTCGACGGGCTCGCGGGAAGGGATGACTGATGAGTGTTTTCTAGGCACGAGATCGTTTCGTTGAGAGGGCCAACAACGGTCAATTTTTTCTGCAATGGAAGCAGTGTTTTATTATTACTATTATTTATTGTTTATATTTCTACAACAAGAAATCCGTATCAGACATTACATAAGCCTAAAGAAAATAAAATAGTAAACTAATAGGGATCTATCAGTAAGTATTTTCTAATAGTTTTATTTTTACTCATTTCTTAGAAACGCGCGGGTCTTTAATATAATATCATAAAAAAGGCAAGACGTTTTGAGCCACGAGAGTCCAAATTGTTTAAAACAGTAATAAATATATTTATTATATTGATATAGAGAGCATTATACATCTGACAAGTGAGTAGAAGGTGGGAAATTATTTCAAATTGTTTAGTGTTACATACGTACATATATACGTAAGTACGCGCAGCCCTTATAGGAGAATTTCAAAAAAACGTTATTACTCAATCTTAGTTGTGCGATAATTATTAAAATGGACATTGGCAATTTAAATAGCTGGGTGGTAGATCAGAGGGTGCAAACCTGAGTAAAAATTCGTGTACTGTGAACCGGCTGTAATGTTGACATCTCACCACAACACAATTCACAAAACAGCTCTCTAATCTGAGATGCCCAGTTGAATTTGGTGTGCTTTGATTGATCGAGATAGCTCGGGAGACGACCTTGGTCCATTCTTTACAGTTTCATAAGAAAACTGTGGCAAGTTTTAAAGGTTTGGTAAATTAAGTGTGTGTGTGTGAAGTTGATTTAGGGAGTATCATCAAATCATCTTTTTTCAAAGTTGGTCTCTACTAGCTCAAGTATGTCGGTATAACGTATGCGTCGAACTGGAAGACATCCGGAAAAATTATTTAAGATGGTTGTTTGGTATATTTTTTAAATTGCGTCCCAAGAGGAAAGCCTACTCTTTCTCAGCATCGACAATGCGGTCCTCGCTGCCTCACTTGCTTTCGAAACTGTTGTGCCTGCCATTTCCCTTAACAAAGAGAAAGACGAGAATGTCACAGCAACGTAATTAACCGTTTTGACCACATCTAACCATGAATCACCCAAGAAAAGCTTTGACTTAGTTGCAGAAGGGGAGTTACTAAAGCGCATAACTTTAGTTTTTTTGGTATTGATTGCAACAGAATTTTCGTTGGCGTACTTGGCCAGACAAGTCAACATTTTCTGTAATTGGCTCTGTGATTCAGCTAATAAAACGACAGCGTGTGCGTAGGCCAGTAAGTTGAGCCTATGCAACTTCAATCCATTGAAGAAAAGTAGTCAATATTAGCAAGACCAAGGGAAAAAGGTAGAGGGCTAAGCAATGCGGCCAGAAGGACACCCTCAGTGATATCCAACATTTTAGTGAAGTCATCCTCGGCCTTAATTTTAACTGTCGCCACTTCTTAAAGGGTAGATTATTTAAAAATTCGTACGGTTTAAGATCCATGCCAGGTTTACATTGTTTTAAAATTGTTTTGATATCATCGACAGTTACACTAGAATCAAGTAAAGGATCTGAAGCGTCGAAGAAATGTGTGTAATCTATGACACGAAACAAGTATGTCGAACAGAGAAAAGCCTCCCACTCGTAAACGGTTGAATTGTTTTTGTTATCATGATTATTAAACCAGAATTCGCGTTGATTTTCCGTTTTCGATAGAGTAGAGATAAGAGAGTTTTCATATAAGCCCTTTTTAGTCAAAATTAAGGTGCGACAGTGTTTTTTTGCTTTTAAGATAAAGTCGTTCTAAACGACGAGAAACGTTGAAACCCGTGCGCTAACCCTTACCAAATTCGTTTTCGATTCGGCGAGCCACCTAGAGTCTTCTTCGGATTCAAGCTGTTGCTGCCGTAGCCTCTGCTCGAGCACCTGGTGACTGAAGTGGCTCGACGGTTGGTACTGGAGATTTTCGAGCAGCTGATCGCCGTAGAGGGAAGCCGGCTGTGGAGTATAGTTACGTCAGACGATGGGTGGAACTTTCGAATTGAAGTTGACGCGGCAAAGTATCACTTTCTGCTGAACTAATACTTATTATTATTTCTTACTTTAAAAAGTTTATTGTTAATTAATACTCTTTTAATGGCAATTTTCGTATTTCGATTTAAAATGATTGTGAATCTAGTTTGAAAGTAACTACAATATCGAGAGCTTTAGTAATAAAAATTTATGCTTAATATACCTAAAAATGTAAATTTAAAATTGAGCGCTTTGGGAATATGTCCAATTAACGGGTTTAGTTATTAAGTTCCAGAGAGTGTTTCAAGTAAAATATTCATATTTTCCCTTTTTATATCTTATTTTGGTTAGTTAAAATTAATTAAAAACCCCTTTAAACCTTGAAAAAGCAACTGGCAGACAAAAGACTTTAAGTAATTATTTACAGTAAATTCATTACATTTAGTGGTCGCTTGGGTGATTTTTGCCACGCCCACGCAAAGTAATCACGCAACGCAAAAATACGGGAGAGGCGGATAAAGGGAAAAAACTTATAGCTACTGTGGATTGCAACGCATTCGCCAAAAAAGTCTATCAAAAACTGTCACGTGCACCAACAGAAAAACCAAACGCAAACAAAGAAAAAAAAGAAAAGTGACGGAGGGGCATCCAAACTACTACGCAAGTGGTCCTGTCGTCGTAGTCGCGCAATACACAAGCCTAGAGAGCTGATCTAAAAAAATTCTAAAGTGTAGCTAACACAATACCAAAATTTCAAAAAAAGGGGCTCCAAACTCTTCTATTAAAACATGAAAAAAAAAAGCAAAAAGTTTAAAACAATTTAGGACACTGGTATGTGGCAGTTAAGAAAAATCCACACAATTGTTAGAAATAAAATCATCAGAAAAAATAAAATTAAAAAAAATATACTGACCACTTGATTTCTATATATTGAACTAGTCGTCTGAAATTTAATTTTGTTTTTATTTAGTGACAGATAATTCTTTTATCATAAAAAACGAGCATTATATTCATTGGTTTGGGAATTACAACTTTTTAATGAAAAACAATGTTAACAACTTTTAAGAATAAATTATTGTCAATTAATTTTTAATATATCATTCTTAAAAAAAAAAGGTAAGTTACTTGGAAATATCTATTAATATTTGTTTTCATAATGTTTAGGACAACTCTTGTCACAAAAAAACAAAAACTTAAATTACTACAAAATCAGGATTGGAAATTGGAAACACAAAGTAATTGAAAAGACCAATTGTTAGACAAGACCCCCACCCTCCAACACACCGAAGTACCTCGGGCCGGCGTTCGATACGACTTAACCTCAAAATTAAATTCTCCTCGACGATCGACTGCAATTTACCAAACTCGTATTTGAAACCGGCTATTTCTTCCTCCAATCGGCCTTGTCTCTTCTCTATCGCGACAATTTTAAACTGGTTCTTGCAAATATTCAAACGGTGGGTGTTTAAGGTTTCGTTCGTGGTCACCCGAAATTCGGATTCGAATTTGGCTCGATTTTTGGGCTCCCATATCCGGTTCTCGATGTAATCGACCAGGGATTCGTCTTCCGGCCCGTCGCGACCACCACAAGCCGTGCAACAACTTAGCATATTAATATCACCGCTTCGCAGCACTTGATTCACTTACTTTGAACGTTACGTTTGAACTGGCTTGTTATCGTTTTAGATAAGAAAAAATACAATTCGCATATGCAGCTGATAACGTATCGGACAAATGATAAGGACTAGATGCAATCCAAAATTCGAACTTAGTTGTGAAATATGTCTGTAGGCAAATAAAATATTCAGAAGTCCCCTGATGTTTGAAAAACCAATACGTGAATATTGACTGAGGACAAATTTTCTTCGGCAACGACTTTCAGATAACAAAAATTAATAACCAAAGCAATGTAACCCAAAACCACAATCAGTTTATTGAGCGAAAATTAGCCATATTGAGCAATAAACATTCTCAATGATGAAAATCCATAAAACATAAAGCATATTTTTCACTGACTGACGTCATGAACATCTAACTCGATGATTTTACTGAGAGATAATAAAAATCTCTAACATCGACCAATTCCTGGTAACTGGACCTGAAAACACGAGTGAAGAACGATGCAAAAAAGTAAAACAGACACGCGAGCGCGCCCGGCCACACACACACACACACACACACATGAAACTCCCAACAAAGATGCTCAAAAAATAATTTTACTTTATCACTACCAAACCAATTACGCATCAGTATGGTTTTTGAGCCAAATCCACAAAATTCTATCGTCAGAGTAAAAAACAAAACAGCAAATCTCCGACACCCACCCAAAAATAAACGAATAAAACGACGTCACTGTCGATCGACAGCCACTGGGAGATGAGATAAGGTGCCAAAACAAAATGCACGCAAAAGAAAAAAAAACGCTACCGCGCATGCGGCACGAAACCGGCGGGAACGCCCACCAGCCAAGCGTCATGCTGCATGCGTCCACCAAACCTGTTGCTGGTGGGAGGTTGGTGGCTGTACGAAAAACTGCCGCTTGCGCGCGCAGCTCTTGACGTCGTCGCCACCGAAATCATAAATGCACTCCTCGACGTACTGAGGCCTCGCCCCCTCGGTCTCGCCATACTCGTACATGACAGGGTCGGGATGGTAAACCGGGATGAAATCGAAATGACATTCGATTGGGTCGCCACCAAGCAGCGGCGGCGGAGAATTTTTTGACCTCCTCTCCAACGACCCGGCACTAAACGGCAAGGGTGGCCCAGTCTTATCCAGGCTACCTCGCGATCCATAGACCACGCGACCGTTCTTCTCGAGCGAGTTATATTTAGAGGACGGTTGTTTCCGTTCCAAAGATCCCATCAGGGGCGTCGAAGGACCGGTACTCGCCCTGGACGGTGTCCTCTCCACGGTATTTTTTTTTGTTTCAGTGGGTGGCACCTCGGGATCTAACTTCTGGAGGTTTTGGATCGGGATCGGGCAGGTTTTGAGGACGGGTTCCGGGACGCGATCTTTGCGCTCGAAATCTACCGCTACCGTGTTAAATACCGATGCGGGAACGGTGTACATGGCCGGCGTCACGCCCCTGTTTTCGTTCTCGCGCATCAGATGCGCGAGCACCTCGGGATTCTGCGCGATGATGTACGTCTGCGGCACCGGGTCCGACGCAGCGTCCAGCGAAGACGACAGCAACGACGCGTCGAGCGCTGCCGAAATGAGAAAAATCTAATAACCGAACGAGTTTTCGCGTCTTCAGATAAATTCAAGCAAATTTTTCTATAAGACCAATAGAATGGTCCACCAGATAATTAAACGGCTAACAAATAAATTAATTAATCACAACCTAGACAGTTTTTGACATGTTAACGGGAATTACTTGGAGCATGACCACATGACACGTTTATTTTATTCACTAAAGACAAATTAATCAACCAAAAATTTAAAGAACTAAATCCAAGACATTTCCCAAAATTTTGAAAAAATACATGTAGTCCCTTTTTTCATTATGTAATAATGTTCTTAAGCGAAAACTAACCAAAACTCACAAAAAATTTGATTACCAACGTCTCAAATAAGTCAGCTTTAAAATAACAAAATATGAATAAAAAAAAATTAGGAATAGACGTTTTCGATTTATTTCACAAACCTTGCATGGGATGCCTGCTAGGCTTCGGCGGGGGGCAACACTCATCTGCGGGTCCCCACGACATCGCCGCCGCCCTCCTCGTCTCCCGCCGCGAGCACTCTTGCTGCGCCCGCTTCTCCTCCACCAGGATCTCCTGCAAAATCTCCTTGATGTCCTTGAAACTTGGCCGTTTGCTCGGCTCGTACGCCCAACACTGCGACATCAGCGAGTAGAGGCGGGGCGGGCAATCTGGCGGCAACGCCAGTCGCTCCCCGTTCTCGATCTTTCCGATCACGTCGTTGTTCTTCACGCCTTGGAATGGTTTTACGCCTAACATTAAGATTTCCCACATGCACACACCTGAGGACAGAGAAAAGAGACACAATTGTGGGAACATGTCTCTCACAGACTAGACGTCAAGCCCTTACTGAACATCCACACATCGCTGGCGGTCGTGAACCGCCTAAAGTTGATACTCTCCGGGCTCATCCATTTGATGGGCAGTTTACCCTTAGAGGCCTTGTAGTAACTCTGGTCCTCGCCCATCTACCGTGACAGACCGAAATCAGCGAGTTTGACGCATCTAGAATTGAATCACTTGTATATATGCGTCCCAATTGAAAAATAAACCGCCTAGCATTATTTAATTCAGTCTGATTCCACCTTTTTCGCAAAAATGATATCCATGTTGCGGAAAAATCTATAAAAACATAAGAAATCTTCAGGTCTTGCTTGTGGAACGTAACATTTACTGACTTGGCAACACTGCGGCGCGCTTGGAATGTAATGTGGGAAGGGGGAAACTGCACAGGGTGGGTGTAATTGACAATGACTTTTTTATTTATGATACCGAGAAAACATTTTTTGGGGCACTTTTTTGTATCAAGTGCAGTAGCGTATATAGATTTTTTCTATATTCTTCGTTATCCCATTAATAGTTTTTAAAAATGCCTGTTTTGAGCCGTTTTCAATTATATGTTGATTTCTGTAATCAAAAATGACATAGATATAAGGCATTTCTTATACGTAGGCTCAAGGTTTAGGAAAGGGCTATTTATAACTTAACTTAATTTAACTTTTTTGAGAGTTTTTATGGTTTTATACCATTTTATAAAACCATTGGTGTTACAAGTTTTATAAGACGTTCGACAAATACCAAAACACTTTTAAGTTTGATAATATATATAATCTTTGGTGTAGGTTGCTTCAGAGTTTTTAACATGCTTTTTAAAGGATTCTTAAAAACCTTATTACAAAACTTTTTTTTTGTAACTTGCTCCGTGAAACTAGATATTTCAAGAAAAATAAACACACTCCTTTCAAGGACAAATAAACAACTGAAAATTGACTGACATTTCATATAATTTTATAGCGTTTATACATTAATTTTAATAAACAAACAAAAAAATTTATAAAAACCGGAAAATGCACACATGCATACATACTCAAAAAAAGCGACTCACCTATCGGAACTAACCAGAACGTTCCTAGCGGCGATATCCCTATGTACATACTTCTTAGATTCTAAGTAGCTCAAAGCGGTAGACAGCTGGAATGCGTACAGCAACAATGTGGCGAGGTCCAAGATGTGCTTATTATTTTGCAGATACGCCCTTAGTTCGCCCAGCTTGGCTAGCTCCATGATGATCCATACGGGCGAGTCGGAACACACTCCTATCAGCTTTATGATGTGGGGGTGATCGAATTTCTGCATGATATCTAATGAAACCGAAACATATGACGTTTTCTAAATTCTACGACTGTTCCGGACAAACTCTTAACTTTCAATTCAAAGGCTTATGTTAGTAAAACATAAAATATCAGTAATTTAGCAGAAAAAATGAAATGGTAGCAAATGAACGAATGTTCAAATGACCGAAAATCTTCCGTCGATGCAGTAGAGGCAATCGAATGAAGATGTAGAACTGAAAGACTTGACTAGAGTTCTGGGAGCAAGCGAGTGACCTAGATATTCATTTGGTTATACAGTTTGGCACAAAAGCTTGGCACGAGCCATTTTTGTCGCAAGGTCCTGTATGAAAGCATATTAACCAATTTGTTGGACCTACCCTTCATTAGAAAGTATTTTATAGGTAGGTACCTCTACCTTTATATAAGTTAATAAGAACCACCAAGAAATATTAAATAACAATATATATATATATATATATATATATATATATATATATATATATATATATATGATGACACTATATTCCGGGATATCATCCGTTCGCTCGTTGAACTCCGACTGGAATCCTGCATCCGACTGGAATCCTGCAGACGTTTCGCCAAAATCTCACTTGGCATCTTCAATGCTCGCGCTCCGAAAACACTTCGAACACTATATATATATATATATATAGGGTTTTTTTGGTCCTTTTTTAGTGAAATTAAAATAAGTTTCCGTTACTTGTAAAACATTTTATTTTTTGTGACGTTTCGGCCTTTAACCTTAAGCCAAAAATCAACGGTTCACTATATAGTTGTTTGGTAATTTACAGTTTTACAACATTCACAACAGACATATCGAATATGTAAATCGACAAGCCACATTGATAAGACGACGAACCAAAACAATTGTTTTGGTTAGTTTTGGTTGAAACTTATTTTAATTTCACTAAAAAAGGACCAAAAAAAAAACAAGAACTATTTCTTAAGAATATATAAGTCAAAAGGATCCAAGAACTCACAAACTAGAAAATATATATATATATATATATATATATATATATATATATATATATATATATATATATATATATATATATATATATATATATATATATATATATATATAATCAAAGTGACCTTTCTTGGTAATTTTTGAAATCTTAAATAAATATATTTGACGTTTATTAAAAAAAATACTGGTAACTGCTAATAAGGTGTATAAAGGTAGAGGTTACCTTTGACACAAAAATAAAAAATGTTATTATTATAGGCTTTTACTTGGACAAGACACTGTGGATTGTACATCAAATACAAGGAAATGTCGATGGAAAAAAATTATTATATTAAGTTTTGGGAATAGTTATTAAAATTTTTGTTTCATTTCATCCATCTGAACAGTTTTACATCATAAAAGAGAACAATCAGTACAAATATTTTTTGCTACACCGATGCAATAACAAAAGATTTGGTACGGCCATTAGGGACATTTCTGGGGCCGTGAGTCCAGAAGCCAGGTCCACGATATGCTGCAGATTTAAAGTATTTTTGTAGCACCATAAGTCTATTTTTATGTGATTCTCATGTGGCTATGGGAAACGCCCCATCTTATTTGTAAAGCAGCCTAAGGGTAGGGACCCATAAATGTGTATTACCCCAAGACTCACTCGCAACTGGCTAGGACAAATTCCACAATGAATTCAGTCAGCTTTATTCCCATCATCCTTACCTATTTTGTTTTGTCATTCATAAATTTGATTTGAAAGATGTCAACTTTTACCTTAGCCGGTGGCTGTAATAAAAAATATTCTTTTGAATGTATCTTTAAAACAAGCACCCTTTTCCTAATTCGTATTCGGATTATACCTATCTAGTATACCATTTGAGCGTCTGCTACATCGAGATCCCTCGCGAGACGAGACGCACCGAGACTTTCCGAAACGGAACCGAACGCCGCTCGGGATTTTCGGTCATGTGAACATTCGATCATTTGTGGTGTTCCCCAAAAAAAAAATGGTTCAGAAAAATGTAAGGGTGTTAAGATATCGTGAACTGGTTATTGAAAAAAAAAAGGTTAAAAACTCGCAAATCCGTCTTATAAATTGATCTAAAATCGATTTATTTCAATACCGAGCGTAAGACACTGCCAGAGGTTACTGTAATACTATTTATAAATTTTCTCTATTTCTGTTGCATCGGTTGTTGATGAATCGAACTTGCTGATGTTTCGTCAATCATCCTGTTGGCTTCTTCAGAGCTTATGAACTGATTGGCGGAACGTCAGCAAGTTCGATTCATCATATTCATAATTAGTATATATACTCTTTTGGGTTTTGACGTACCTTCTCCAAAAAAGTTTAAGTTTCGAAAAAAGCTTCTTACGAGTATTTACTGTTATTTATACCAATGTAGCGTCGAAATCGCTTGTCATTAGATCCAAAACATATTGTGAAACTTCTGTATGAATATTTAATAAGTAGGAATAGAGGAAACTTTAAAAGAAAACTACATCCTTACAAAAACGCTATTACGCGTGACTTGTTGAGTATAAGCAAAATACATAGTGATTGTCAATCCATGGAATGTAGTAAATAAGATATGATGAGAATGAAAATATATCCACTCTATTAAAACCAGGTTGGTTCTACTTTGGATAATCTGAAATGGAAGGTAGAGGATTGAGCAGTCGTCTATGTCTTACAATATCGACTGGTCAGCTGTTATTATTGAAGTCGACAATTTATTTCGATACTTGCCACGACTGCTTTGAGACAAACCACACATTTGTCAAGGAGCGCTGTTTATCTTCATTGGTTTGCGACTATCTTCATCAAAAGCTTGAGGTGATCGTGGAAAGTGAGTTTTGACAGAAGAATTGTTAAGTCAAAAAAGTAAATATATATTGCAAGAGCGTTTTAAATAACGAAGTGACGTCCCGTTCCTATTGTGCGGGAATTAAACAGCCTGCGCGGTAGCAAACCAATCTAAATGATGAATGGGGCCGATTTTTGATGAGATCACGTCGGTTCCCGACCCGTACAAAAGGCCCGTTGGTACAGATTGTTAACGATGGGGGAGTTAGGGGGTTTGCTTTCACGCCGGATACTTATTGACTTTCGACTGCGCGAGGGCGATGAAAAGGCCCATGCGAAAAAGAGCATCTGATGTATTTTCACGCTCCTAATAAGGCGTAATAAGACTTTTTGGCATTTGAGTGGTTGGTAGGTGCGAGGGGAAGTGTTGAATAGGCCGCCGGTTATATTCGGATATTGACTAGCAGCTCGGCTGTCAAATTGCTTTGCTTATGGGAGACAAGAGGTCCGGAATAATTTTTATTTTTTAATTTTCTTACGGTGTTTACATCCGCGCTCATACTTCGCTTTAAGATGATTCTAGATTTTTAGTCAAACATGGTAATCATGTAATCATGATATATCACCCATGTTTCCGTTATATCCGACGAGATCACTTGCTATTAGATGTTTAATCAGTAGTGAATTCATTAAGCAAGAAGTTTGATAAGAATCATAAATACTTACAAACCCGCCAGTATCCTCGATAAAGGATACTATTAACGGTTTAAAACCTTTGGATAAAGTGAACAGGAAGGTAGAAGAAGATGATAGATATTTTTACAAAATAGGATTTAAATGCCGCAAAATAGACAAAAAATAAATGGTAATGGAATGTCAGAGATCATACATCCGATAACAGGTCTATAATTTACCTTGATGAAATTTGATTCGATACACATGGCCTGATGGAAAAATGAGGCAAATTTTACTATAGAAATAGACTGCTAGTGATAGTAATTGTTGTATTTCTCTTGTCCTTTTATATACCCAAGCGAGACAGAATTATATTTCAAATCAAAACATGCTTATATTTTTGAAACAAAGTATATATCACTATATTATACGCCACCCAGGCCCATCAGATTTGGGGTAAATTTGATCTATAGTTTTTGGTAAATTTCTTATCAACGCAGCTTTAAAAATATTTTCACCGTACTTAAAAAATGTTTTAGTTAATTAATTAAAATTAATTAAATTAAAAAAACTACAGCAATATTTCAATTATAAAAAAAAACAATTTTCTTCTTCTTAAGGATGGGTTGATTCCAGTAAACATTTGTGGCTACAAGTACAATCAAGTATCAGAGCATAAATTTAATTAGAAATGTAATTAATAATATACCTGTTGAGATCTGGAAAAATGCGCTGCAGCACATTTTAAAAATATAAGATTTTTAGATTTGCATACAAAACATCATAGAAACCATTGTAATTAATCTTAATAGCGACTCTGAGAGAGAGACAGAATTATATTTCAAATCAAAACATGCTTATATTTTTTAAACAAAGTATATATCACTATATTATACGCCACCCAGGCCCATCAGATTTGGAATTTGATCTATAGTTTTTGGTAAATTTCTTATCAACGCAGCTTTAAAAATATTTTCACCGTACTTAAAAAATGTTTTAGTTAATTAATTAAAATTAATTAAATTAAAAAAACTACAGCAATATTTCAATTATAAAAAAAAACAATTTTCTTCTTCTTAAGGATGGGTTGATTCCAGTAAACATTTGTGGCTACAAGTACAATCAAGTATCAGAGCATAAATTTAATTAGAAATGTAATTAATAATATACCTGTTGAGATCTGGAAAAATGCGCTGCAGCACATTTTAAAAATAGTTATTCTTTTACCTCTTTTTGATGGCGCGTTTGTTTTACACTTATCAGTTGACTCAACCCAACCCTTTTCCGGGGTATCATAAGTGTCGAATCAGGTTTCATCCAAGTAAATAATTGGCCTTTGTTGTTCTCTGTAAATCCTGATTTTTTCTAGATATTCCAGTCGCCATTTCCGAATTCTAAAAGATTCCATTAAAACTTGCCTTTTGTCAATTCTTTTAAATCTAAAACCCCTGTGTTGAATACACTTCCATAAGGTAGTTCTGCCACATTTAACACCGGTTTTATCTTTTTCAAGCTTCCTAATTAAGATATCTAATGTAGGCTCGCTTTGTTCCTCTTATAACTGGT